TTCACCCGAACCAAAGTTTACAGTTACACATCAGGAGTGAATACTTTCACCCGAACCAAAGTTTACAGTTACACATCAGGAGTGAATACTTTCACCCGAACCAAAGTTTACAGTTACACATCAGGAGTGAATCCTTTCACCTGAACCAAAGTTTACAGTTATACATCAGGAGTGAATACTTCCAGCCGAACCAAAGTTTACAGTTACACATCAGGAGTGAATACTTTCAACCGAACCAAAGTTTACAGTTATACATCAGGAGTGAATACTTTCAACCGAACCAAAGTTTACAGTTACACATCAGGAGTGAATACTTTCAACCGAACCACAGTGTTACAAGAAAGTAATAATAAAAACTCGGCATGAATAGCTAAACCTGGACCATAGTATTTCACACGAAAACATTGAGAGTGAATAGTCTCCTCCCCCGGTTCGCAATACCCCCCACAAAACCTATCAGAATGAACAATTTAACTTGAATAACGTCTGCTCCATACTGAATCTTTCAGTTCGAATACTTTAACTTGGACCGCAGCGTTTCACACAGGACCTTTCAGAATAGATAATTTAACACAAACCACGGTGTTTACACAAACTCTTTCAGGATGAATAATTTGTGATAATAGGTATTATAATTTTGCCTATTCATGATGTTAGAAAAACACGTAGGTTCAAGAAATCTTGATAGAAATTAATAAAAACCTGATAACACGAGTGCTTTCGAAAGGTGGACCTTTCTTCTTGTGTGCCCCTGAAGAAGAAAGGTCCACTTTTCGAAAGGGCTCGGGTTATAGGGTTTTATAATTTTGTCTATATTATTTCCGGATAAGCAGGTGTCGCTCTTTGTTACAAAACATTTACGTAATCAGAGTATTAAGCACTGAACATTGTTCTAGTTTGTTTGTTTGTAACTAAGCACAAAGCTACACAATGGGCTATCTGTGCTCTGTCCACCACGGGTATCGAAACCCGGATTCTAGAGTTGTAAGTCCGCAGACATACTGCTGTGCCACTGGGGGGCTTTTCTAAACGTTAAAAAATGTCTAGGTAGTAAATAAAATTTTATAATTTCGTGGGATGCTCATTTGCATCTTATTCGTAATGATATATAATTGTGATTAATTCAAATTGTTTTAAGTTCCACAATTGTAATGTAAAAAATAACACTGTCTTACAAAAAAAAGTTATTCCAAATAACAAATCTCTCCAGTTCTACACGTGCTGTTGCATCAATTATCGTACAATATCATCCAGTTCTACACGTGTTGTTGCATCAATTATCGTACAAAATCATCCATTTCTACACGTGTTGTTGCATCAATTATCGTACAATATCATCCAGTTCTACACGTGTTGTTGCATCAATTA